GGTTACAGGCTGCAGACTAGAGGCTGGTTCTCCTCGGGCAGACTGTATAGAGGGGCCTCCTCCTGTTTTGGGCCCTAGGTCTTAGACCGAAGACTCGACATGTGAGTCTGCCCTAAGGCGATTTAGACGGCAGTGAGGCCCCAGCAAGCGCGAGGCTTTAGGCGGCCGCCTAAATCAACTAATTAGAGAGCCACCTCTGGTAAGACCTTGACTGTGCTGTGTAATTTGGAAGGTTATTGTAGAACTATAAAAAGTGCAGAGACAAGCTACAACATGAATAAGATGAATGGAAAACATTAATTATGAAGAAAGGCTAGAAAAAAATGAATTTGTTTTCTTTATAAAAGAAGGCTTCACAGATGGGTTATGATTGCACTCTACAAATATACAGGGTCAGGCAAACCTCTGTGTGGTAACCTGCTCATTAGCAGGAATATACAACAGACAAGAGATCACTCAATGAGACTGGAAGAAAGTTGTGTTCTCTTAAAGCAGAGTAAAGTATTATTTACAGTAAGAACAATACAGATTCAATTGTCTACCTAAAGAGGTTGTCTGAAATTCTATAGATATTTAAAATAATGCCTGGATGATGTTTTTTAATAACAGAATATATCAGGATATAATTAACCCCTTAAGACTGGAGGGCGTACAATTACGCCCTATTTTAGGCGGCTCTAAGCGCCGCTGGGCGGAATTGTACGCCCTCCAGTCTTTTCTTACTTACCTGGTCGCCGGCGGTCCCAGGGAGCCCCCCCGCGGTAGATCCTCCTCCTCCGGTGCCCCCCGGCCATGTGAGAGTGAGGTCCTTGCGAGGACCCCACAATCACATGGCCGGGTAGGCTGCCTCCTGCATTGCCAGCAGGGGGGCTGCCTGTAATGACAGGTGGTCCCCCTGCTGGCTGAAAATAGAATTAAAATAAAATTAAAAAGTGTAAAAAAAATATATATATATACTTAGATCATATATATATTATATATATGATCTAAGTATATATATATACACATATACATGCACACACATACACTGTCTAGGTGTATTTTACTATTAATATATATATAATTATATATATATATTAATATCAAATTACACGTAGACTGATACTGATTAAATATATATATATATAATTATTGTCATATATATATTTATATATAATATAAAAAAATTTAATATGTAAATACGTTAAAAAATAAAATTTAAAAAATTATTTAAAAAAATTATTAAAAAATATATAGATGTGTGTTATTTCGTTCTAACTGTAATGTGATATTATTATATATATATTTATATCAAAATACACGTAGAACGAAATAATATATATATCTACATACATAAATATATACGTATATATCACTATATATATACCTATATATAAATAAAAATATTTTAAAAAATTATATATATATACACATATAGATTCACATACGTATATATATACATATATTAATTCTACATATATATTTATGTAATATTTTTACATAATTAGGTATCTTAATTAATTACAATTAGCGGGACCTGCCTGACAACCCATGCCGAAAGTCAAGGGAATTTAATTTGTTAGCACTATATTTAACCCTATAACTTTCCAAGACACCATAAAACCTGTACATGGGGGGTACTGTTCTACTCGGGAGACTTCGCTGAACACAAATATTAGTGTTTCAAAACAGTAAAATGTATTACAACGATGATATCGCCAGTAAAAGTGACGTTTTTTGCATTTTTCATGCACAAACAGCACTTACACGGACGATATTATTGCTGTGATACTTTTTGCTGTTTTGAAACACAAATATTTGTGTTCAGCGAAGTCTCCCGAGTACAACAGTACCCCTCATGTACAGGTTTTATGGTGTTTTCAAAAGTTACAGCGTCAAATATAAGGCTTGCGTTTCATTTTTTTCACATTAAAATTCGCCAGATTGGTTACAGGGCCTTTGAGACCCTATGGTAGCCCAAGAATGAAAATTACCCCTATGATGGCATACCATGTGCAATAGTATACAACCCAAGGTATTGCAAATGGGGTATGTCCAGTCTTTTTTAGTAGCCACTTAGTCACAAACACTGGCCAAAATTAGCGTTTTTTGCATTTTTCACACAAACAAATACTAACGCTAACTTTGGCCAGTGTTTGTGACCAAATGGCTACTAAAAAAGACTGGACATACCCCATTTGCAATACCTTAGGTTGTCTTCTATTGCAAATGGCATGCCATCATAGGGGTAATTTTCATTCTTGGGCTACTATACAGTCTCAAAGGCAGCGTAACCAATCTGGCGAATTTCAATTTCAAATGTAATGTGCTATATTTGACCCTGTAACTTCCCAAAATGCCATAAAACCTGTACATAGGGGGTACTGTTTTACACGTGAGACTTTGCTGAATACAAATATGTGTATTTTATTGCAGTAAAAGCAAACAGTATTAAGACATTGACAGTTAAAATGTCATGTAGAACTAAAAGAATCAAAAAAAATCTTATTTTCTCCAATTTTTTTCTTATTAAATTATGTTTCATAGCTAAATATTTTATATTAAATGAAAGCCCTGTTTCCCCTGAATAAAATGATATATAATAAGGGTGGGTGCATTTAATATGAAAGAGGTGAATTACGGTTGGACAGACATGTAGCGCAAATGCCAGGTTTTGTTTACATTTTGTTTCGTTCACAATGTGTACATTTGGCTCAGTCCTTAAGGGGTTAATATGTATGTGAACATGTTGTTGCCCAGGGTGAACCATGTTTGTCATTATAGAGTCAGTAAGTATTTTTTCCCTTTTTTGTGGCAGAATTAAAAATTGCTACAATTGGGTGATTATTGCCTCCTTTTAAAGGGACACTATAGTCACCTGAACAACTGTAGCTTAATGAAGCAGTTTTGGTGTATAGAATATGCCCCTGCAGCCTCACTGCTCAATCCTCTGCCATTTAGGAGTTAAATCCCTCTGTTTATTAACCCTAGTCACACCTCCCTGCATGTGACTTGCACAGCCTTCCATAAACACTTCCTGTAAAGAGAGCCCTATTTAGGCTTTCTTTATTGCAAGTTCTGTTTAATTAAGATCTTCTTATCCCCCGCTATGTGAATAGCCCTGCAAGAGCCCCCTGTATGTGATTAAAGTTCAATTTAGAGATTGAGATACAATTATTTAAGGTAAATTACATCTGTTTGAAAGTGAAACCAGTTTTTTTTTCAATGCAGGCTCTGTCAATCATAGCCAGGGGAGGTGTGGCTAGGGCTGCATAAACAGAAACAAAGTGATTTAACTGCTAAATGACAGTGAATTGAGCAGTGAAATTGCAGGGGAATGATCTATACACTAAAACTGCTTTATTTAGCTAAAGTAATTTAGGTGACTATAGTGTTCCTTTAAATCAACAGTATAAACGTTGAACTTAATTGACTTAAGTCTTTTTCAGCCTAAATTACTATGTAACCTTAATTGTTGGGAAATAGGCATTTTATAATGCCACAAATTTGTTTGCTATTAAAACCTAAAATGGTCAAAATAACTATTATTAAGCATGTTACTGTAAAATTCCACTTGCACTATTATTCACAAGTGAATTTTGTTCAATATCTTATACTTGTTTCCATAAAATAAGGCACTTGCTTCTTTGGTCACATTTACAGATTTATTTTGACTCTTTCAGGTGTTGATTGTCAGTGGATCTACACCCTACGAATGCGCCAGATGGCCACTCACACATCTCCCCAACATACATCAGGCCTGCCTCGTTCTCAATCTTCCAGCCTTACAAACTTATCTCAAATATTACCATATCTGCATGACCAAGAATCGTACGCTGCTGCCGTAAGACGAACACGTGTCAGTTCAACCTTACAAGTTACACCCATCAATTACTCACGTAGCTCATCACCAACACATTTTGGACTTTCAAAAAATATGGCCTCCTTATCAATTCAAAGTTCCAAATGTAGCAGTGCATCAAGTACAGCCTCTGATAGCCCTTCTGAGAGAGAGAGATCACGTGTCCATGCTAATTATCACAGAAATGCTCCTAGCACATCCATGCAGAGGAGAAGTGGTGAAAAAAGTCATCATAGTAGCTCAGGAAAGTATAACAAATCTTACCAGCTGACACAAAATAATTCAAGGTCTCATGAACCCCGACATTACAGAACTGGACAGAACCAGACTAGGCATATACCAGGAATGCCAGTAGAAACATCTGCTGCTAACGGGGAAGAAAGCAAAGCTAATAATGATAATGGCTGGATAAAAGTGGATTACTCAAAAAAATCCCATAAGCAGCCTTTGGTAAACAAGTCAAAAAAAGAGAAATCTAAGGCCTTTGGACGTAGTAGACAATAGTTAAAAGTCGGACTATTATTTATACAAAAATATACTATATATCTAATTTAATTGGATTTATCAATTGTATTTTTTTTTATATACATATTTTTACAAATATATCATGCCGTTTCTATATAATGAAAGAAACTTTTTTTTAATAAAACTACATTTTAATACATGCAGACTCTTTTTAAATTGTACACAATGGTTTTAGACACATTTTAGCATTAGAAAATGTGGAGCAGCTTGAAATGTTACTACACTGCCATGATCCTTTTGTAGTGCTGTGGGGGGTGGCACATTCTCCACTCCCACACCACGTACCGGAACAAGGTTGCTTTTGTGTGAAACTATCTGTCCCCCTATGTTGCAGTTGATCGCTGCTTTATTTATTAAAATTACTATCTATAAAATGTATTTACTAAAATCATTTTTAATGCAAGGTTAGGGTGATCCATAGACCCCTATGTAACCAAGGTGAACAGAATCTGCCCTTTGAAATAAGGAGTTCATTTTACTCCATTAGGACAGTATAATACGGCGGAGAATGGGGATTCTTAAAATGCACGTTTGCCAGTACTTGAAAGGCAAGAATTACCTATATCAGAAAAGCAAAAAAAAAAGAAATTATTATATATATATATATATGTATATATATATATATACATACATACATATATACACATACAGTGTCTCACAAAAGTGAGTACATCCCTCACATCTGTGGGGCATCCTCAAACGGAAGGTAGGGGAGCGCAAGGTCTCTAACATCCATCAGCTCTGTGATGTCATCATGGAGGAGTGCAAGAGGACTCCAGTGGCAACCCGTGAAGCTTTGGTGAACTCCATGCCCATGATGGTTAAGGCAGTGCTGGAAAATAATGGCGGCCACACAAAATATTGACACTTTGGGCTCAGTTTGGACATTTCCACTTAGGGGTGTACTCACTTTTTTTGCCAACGGTTTAGACATTAATGGCTGTGTGTTGAGTTATTTTGAGGGGACAGCAAATTTATACTGTTATACAGGCTGTACCCTTACTACTTTACATTGTAGCAGAGTGTATTTTCTTCAATGTTGTCACATGAAAAGATATAAATAAAAATATTTACAAAATATCAGGGGTGTACTGACTTTTGTTAGATACTGTACACACACACACACACTCTCACTCTCTCTCCCCTTATGGAGAACAAGTAACCACTAAAAAGGGCAGATTATATTCACCACGGTTGCATAGAGGGGAAAATAGGGGGTCCATTAGAGCCCCCTACCCTTGGAGCAGAAATTATTTTTAAAGGTGCTGCAGGGACTTGCTGCTTTTGCATTGGGGAACAGATACCCCCTTGTCTGAATCTGCCCTTTCAAAATATGAGCTACCTTGTTCTTGTGTATATCTATCTATCTATGGTAATTGATTAGTAATCCTGACTTATTGGAGACCAGGTTCCATGTCTGCCAGAAACCCCACACAGTGACCCACATGAAAAGGTTGCAATTTATGGTATCAAACAACTTAGTTATAGTTATTATCTTAGACTTATTGTTTACCACTTTAACCCCTTAAGGACACAGGACATGTGTGACATGTCATGATTCCCTTTTATTCCAGAAGTTTGGTCCTTAAGGGGTTAAGGTAGAATAAATCATCTGAGTGATTCCATTTTGTTGAACAACCACCAGCAGTTGATGGAAGAGGAATTTTTGAAAAAGTGACTACAGCTATAAAAAAATATATATAATTTTTCCTCTTGTCTGCATGTTTGCTTCTCTGTGCTGACTGCCAAATACTAAGGCTATAACATATAACATTGAAAAGCAGGGACCAAAAATGGAAGCAGCCAGCTGCAAAAGAAAGGGGTGTGGATTCCCACATTTGATTTTATTTATTTTTCAAACCTTATACATTCATATTTGAATATAGAAATAGGTAAAAAAAAATAATATTAAATATTAATGAATCGAAAAAATCAGTGTCATTTTTAAAAAATAAGTAAAACTCTAAAATAAATGCAGTTTTTTGAGTAGTCGATAAATATGTAGTGCAGTTTAAATCTCATTTGTGTTAAATTAATTAGTGAAACTGAAATAATTTTCTACTGCACACAGAAAAAAAGAAATTAGTTTTTCAATAAGTGCAATTCAGTTTTAGTCTGAAGATGTTCGTTCTGCTGTGCAGTAAGTCACATACTTTCAAATTAGACATGATACCACTATTATATCTTATTATTATTATTATTATTATTGCCATTTATATAGCGCCAACAGATTCCATAGCGCTTTACAATATTATGAGAGGGGATCTTTGTTCTTTATCGAAAATTAAAATGCACTAGTTCTGAAAGGTCCTTTAAAGATCACACAAATATTTATTGCTTCCTTCTTTACTATTGTGTGTAATTACAGTATCTCATCTTTTACTACATGGAAAACAACAGAACAATAATCACTCTTAACCATTAGCGTGCCAAAGGCCTGAACAAGCCATTATTTTACAAATGTATTACTCACCCTATTGGCACCTAAACAGTTAATTCCTGCTGTGCCCCTTCAGTGTTAAGAATTGAAGATCTGTGGGGAGGGGGGTTTATACTGTAAATCACAGCCCTGCTGCAGGAAGGCAGTTAGCAGCTGGAGATTGTGGTAGATAATAGGAAGCAACTTCTGGGATCCAAGCCTTTTACAATAGACTTTAATGGAACTGGAATACACTGGCATTTTACCAAATAGAACCAGACAAGTGGCAACCTTACTCATTATATTTCAAATATAGATATGTAGTTCCACAGTCACTTTTAAACAATGTAGCTCTTGCTGAGTATCCATCCACGGGAATATCTATCTGTATGATTTTCGGCTTTTGTGCTCATTCTAATTGTAATAATACAAGCCGAGATAGTTGTAAGTAATCAAATCAGTTGCTGGTCTTCAGAGGAAACACTATCATTTATTTTTATGTTGATTGGTGGCAATCAATGCAATAGCTGTTACAGTAATAAGATGCAATAGAACTATGCCCTACTTGTATAAATGCATCAAAAAGGCCTGTGAACACAGCACATTTACAAGAAGAAAAAGACAAAGTGTTTGTTCCTGTCTTGATTATCACCTGAGTTGTTTTAGTTGCATAATAAAAGGTAGAATAATGCCCATAATCAGCTTCCCATGCAAAACATTTAGAACAAGTGGACAATTATTTATCACCTTAATTATCTTCCAAAACATTCTTATAAAATGTTTGTATCTCCTGACATTGCAATCATGTATGTATGAATAACATAAGACGTTTGCTGGGAGGCTGCCATCTTGATTTTCCATTTGAATGTTATTGCACGCAAGGTTGGGTTGACATAGCATGCAGCCATTTTCTGATCAGATCTCAGGTATGCAATATACACAATAGATGACCCAAACACTTATTTGTATTACTCAAGCAAGTTATTGATCAAACAGAGTAGTACTGGAAGAAGTACACTTGGTGAAGTCTCACCTTCAATAAATACAATAAGAAACACTATCAGCTATATAAACATCAGTCAATTTTCTTCATCTACACACAGTGAAGAGAATACACTACGTCTGTTTGAGTGTTTTATTACAGAACACACACTTGTGGACTCCAATGGAGACGTAAAGGTAAACTATATTGCTAGAAATACAAAATTGTATACCTAGCACTGTAGTGCCCCCGCAGCGCAGAAACCTTTTGTCACTTCCCTGAATCCAGCGCCAATGTCCATCAGCGCTGTGCCCGCATTAGAACTACCGCATAGGGAAGCATTAAATCGATGTTTTCCTATGGAGTTTTTGCAGAAGCTGGATGTCCTCATGCACAGTGTGCCTAATGATGGTAGACAGTCAATAGAGGTGGAGTTAACCCTGCAAAGTAATTATCGCAGTTTATCAATAACTGCAATAATTACAATTGCAGGGTTAACCCCTTAAGGACCAAACTTCTGGAATAAAAGGGAATCGTGACATGTCACACATGTCATGTGTCCTTAAGGGGTTAAAGGGACACTGTAGGCACCCAGACCACTTCAGCTCAATGTTTACATTGCAGCTCTAAGTCTGCCTACAGTGGCTGTCTACCAGATAGCCACTAGAAAGCTTCCTGTATCAAAACAGACCTTTGGTCCGGTATCTGACGCTGGACGTCCTCACACTGTGCATGAGGTCCTTCAGCGTCAGAATTTTCCGTATTAGGTCTCCCCCGCCGATGTCAGGAGCATGGGTGGAGCCTGACACTGCGCTGAGGGACATCGGAACTGGATTCAAGTGGATTCAAGTGACTAAAGAGGTTTTAAACCCCCCCCCCACCAAAGACAGTCAGTGCACCCATCAACAGATACAGTACTCTAAAAATCCACTTGGTATAAAACTTAAATAAAATGAAAGTGTAAAGGTGTTCAAGGTTGCTAATGTTAAACTGGTCTCCATGTTGGTACACACAGTGCATCTTCATAAGGTATATTTTAGCAGGAAGTGAGATCCCAAAATAAAGGTTATGCCCCACTCATTCTAGGCATTCTTACAAGTGTTGTATTTATTTACACACTGTTGTGGTATTATCTTGTGTTCTGTTTACAGTTATTTGAGTGAATGTTATCCTTGCAGCTGAAAAGACAACGGCCAGAAGACCACCCCTGGTGCGATCTGTGTAGAACTCCTCTGTGTTAACTACTTATTGTTATCTCCGAAGTTCCCATTTGTATAAAAACTCAACTTAATGAACTACCTTGTATATACCTATATATATATATGCGGTCTTATCTCTAATAAAGTGTATATCTCTCCTTACTAGTCTAGTTTTGTCATGCTTGTGGGAGAGTCAACTACAATTGAACTCTGTGTGATATTTGGCTTTAACAATATTTTAATCACTTGTCTTTAGCTATTTCACTGTTTGCTACCAAAAAATGGGTCTTTTTCTGACTGGAGAGAACAGTTTATGCATTTTGGACTAATGCTGCCTAATTATTACCAGATTTTGCAATTCAAAAATCATGATTTTATATAAACATGGAAGCGAATAGTATACGGCTTCTCTTTTTTATTTCCCTTAAAAGCCATGAAAATTTTAAAGGGACACAATAGGCACCAACATAGCTTTAGCTTACGGTTGTATTATAACCCTTCTAAGAGAAGGGACCTTTCCGGCATCACATGCCGCCTCTCAGTTTGCAGTAGAGCCTGCAAATAAAGGTCCAAGTCTACTGGAATTGGAGACAACTTAAAGGGTTACTTAATCCTTTACAGGACAACAACCTTTCTGGTATAATATGCCGTATTGGGCACTGTGCCTATTTCTGCATTCCCCTCCAAAGTCAAAGAAAAGCCTGTGATTGGACCATTTCACCGGCTCAGAGAGCATGTAGACGTTCTGGGCCAGCAAAGAAAGGGAGGGTTTTTTAAAAAACAAAACAAAAACTGTGCATGGAGGGAGGTGGGAAAATCGCAGTCTAACAGGGAGGGTGGCCGGGAAGGGAATGCTACTTGCAGAAGGAAGATTTTCACGTCTAACCCCAGACTGCACTTCACACTGATGACAGACTTTTTTAAGCCCAGCATTGACTTTAGAACGCTCTTCCAGGCTGCCTGATTTACATGTGCTGGGAATGCAACTATCCCCCAGCACACAAGTGCAAATAAGTAAGTATGTGCAGTGTTTCTAAAACATACAGCACATACAGACTCCTACTGCCATGACCACTTAAAATGAAGAAGTTTTTGTGTACAGATCCTGCCCGTGCAGTCTCACTGCTCAATTATCTGCCATTTAGGAGTTAAATTACTTTGATTATATAGTCCTTGCTGCATGACAAATGGTAGAGAATTGAGCAGTGAGACTGCAGTGGTATGATCTCTACACCCAAACTTCATTAACCCCTTAAGGACAGCCGTCCTTTGTACTTACCTGATCGCTGGCAATCGCGATGGGGGGACTTACCTGGCATCCAAGGGAGTCCCCCTGCATCTGATCCGGCCCTCCTGGGCCATGTGATCGCGAGGTATATATATATATATACATACATACATAACACTGTCTAAGTGTATTTTAATATATAATTATATATATATATATATATATATATGTAGAATGATATAAATTACT